ACCAGGCCCAGCTAATTTTTGTATTTTTGGTAGAGACGGCATTTCACCATGTTGTCCAGGCTGTTCTCAAACTCTTGATGTCAAGCAACCCACCTGCCTTGGCCTCACAAAGTGTTGGGCTTGCAGGCATGAACTACCATGCCCAGCTCAGGCTTATTAAATTTAAGATGCTTTGAAATATCCATCTATTGATTCATAAATGTGTTTTTGAAAGAAACAGATATGTGTGTGTGTGTGTGTGTGTGTGTGTGTGTGTGTAAAAACTGGTGAGATTATGGGTAACTTTTACTTTATAACTGCTTGTCCATATTTTCTAAATATCATATCATAAAGATGTATAACTTTTATAACAACCAAAAGGAAAATTATTTTAAACATAGATATGTATGGTACTTGCAAATTTGACTCCCAAATTTCAAGGGACTCTTGCTACGTCAATGCTTCTTAAATCAGAAAGTCCTAAGTTCTGGGCCCACATACTCAGCTGCCAGATGGCCATGTTTATTTGAATGTTCCAAAATTACCTTGAGCTTAACATGCCCAAGCCAAAACTCATTATGTTTCCCTAAAAAAAAAAAAAAAAAAACCTGCCTGTTCTTTTGTACACATCATCTCAGATAATAGCACTTCCATACATCCAGTCACTGGCCCTCAAGTGTGGTGCTTTTTTTTCTTTATCTTTTTTTTTTTTTTTTTTTTTTTTTTTTGAGTCAGGAGTACAATGGTGGATCACAGCTAGCCAAGACCTCCTGGGTGCAAGTGATCCTCCCACCTCAGCCTCCCAAGTAGCTGGACTAAAGGCTGGTACCACCACACCCAGCTAATTTTTTTTTTTTTTTTTTTTGAGAGATGGGGTTTCACCTCCTTGCCCAGTCTGGCCTCAAACTCTTATCCTCGGCCTCCCAAAGTGCTGGTATTACAGGCAACCAGCCCAAGAGGTTCTTGATCTTACCTAATCCTTGCCTGCCACATTAAATCAGTGTATCCTGCCTATTCTGTCTCCCAAAACGCTCTGTTTCATCTCCTGCCTGCTACTCCCTGGCTGCCATCACGTTCACCCTTCATGGTCTCTCACAGAGCCTCCTGGATGCTCTTCCTTCCACCCAAGTTTCCTGCCTCAGCCTACCCCCACCTCCTGCCATATGGATGCTAGTTATCTGCAAAAATGGAAATCTCAGTGGGTCATCCCTGCCCACTGACTATAGGATACAGGCCAATATTTTGCGCATGACTTATATGCTCACACTGCCCCCTTTTCTAGGCTCATCTCCAGCAATTCCCCACAAGCACATTCTGCTCCAACTACAAAAAAACTACTCTCCAAATAAACCATACTCTTTCATGACTAGATGTGTTTGCATATGCTGTTTCCTCTCCAGGGAATGTTTTTCCCCATCACTCTCTGATGCTTTCAGATTCAAGACTCTAATAAAATACTCCATTGAAGGCTTGTCTGACCAGCCTGGGCAATATAGTGAGACCCTGTCTCTACAAAAAATTTAAAAATGCCCAGGAGCAATGGCTCACACCTGTAATCCCAGCACTCTGGGAGGCTGAGGCAGGAGGATCACTTGAGCCCAGGAGTTCAAGACCAGCCTGGGCTCAAGATAAAGTGAGACCTTATCTCTATTTTTTAATTAAAATAAAATTAAATTTAAAATTAGGGCCGGGTGCAGTGGCTCACACCTGTAATTCCAGCACTTTGGGAGGCCAAGGCGGTCGGATGGCCTGAGGTCAGGAGTTTGAGACCAGCCTGGCTAACATGATGAAAACCTGTCTCTACTAAAACTACAAAAATTAGCTGGGCATGGTGGCATACACCTTTAGTCCCAGCTACTCGGGAGGCTGAGGCAGAATCACTTGAACCCGGGAGGTGCAGGTTGCAGTGAGCTGAGATTGCACCATTGCACTCCAGCCTGGGAGACAGAGCGAGACTCCGTCTCAAAAAAAAAAAAAAAAAAAAAAAAATTAGCTGGGCATAAACCTGTGCCTGTAGTCCTTGCTACTCAGGAGGCTGTGACTAGACGATGACTTGAGCTGAGGAGTTTGAGGCTGCAGTGAGCTATGATTGCACCACTGCACTCCAATCTGGGTGATGGAACAAGATCTTTTCTCAAAAAAAAAAACACCTTATCCCAGTTTTTCTGCCACAGTTATTTAGTAACTATATAGTTAAAACTAATAACCTATAATTCTATTGCTAATAGAACTATATGTTGTTTACATATACTTTTTTACAATTAATTTACAATAAAATTATATTTAGTATAATTATATGTACATATAATTTTATTGTATGGCAATGGCTCACACCTGTAATGAATTTACAATAAAATTCATTACAGGTAATTACATGTAATTTTATTGTAAATTTTGTTTTTGTGACAGTATTTCCCAGAATGGAGTGACTTTTTTTTTTTATACTGATTTACCAGGTACATGTGCAATCTCATTACCTGCATAGGTTGTGTAGTGGTCAAGTCAGGGCTTTTAGGGTTCCCATCACCCAAGTAACATATACCCATTAACTAATTTTGCATCATCCACCCCCTCACCCTTCCAACTCTTCACTATCATTCCACTCTCTAGTACATGTGTACACATTTTTAGCACCCACTTATGAGTGGGAACATGCAATATTTGACTTTCTGTGCCTGGTTTGTTTCACTTAAGATAATGGCCTCCAGTTCCATCCATGTTGCTGAAAAATACATGATTTCATTTTTGTAATGGCTTAATAATATTCCATTGTGTAAATATACCACATTTTATTTACCCATTAGTCTGTTGATGAACACTTAGGTGAACACCATACCTTTGCTATTGTGACTAGTGCAATAAACATATGAGTGCAGGTATCTTTTTGATGTATTGATTCCTTTTCCTTTGAGTAGATACCTAGTAGTGAAATTGCTAGATGGAATGGTGGTTCTATTTTTAGTTCTTTGATAAATCCCCATACTGCTTTCCATAGAGGCTGTACTAATTTACATTCCCACCAAAAGTGGATGAGTTCTCTTTTCTCCATATTCTTGCTAACATCTGTTACTTTTCGTCTTTTTAAGAATAGCCATTCTGACTGGGGTAAGATGATATCTCATTGCAATTTTAATTTGCATTTCTCTGACGATTAGTGATGCTGAGCATGTTTTAATATATGTGTTGGCCATTTCTATCTCTTCTTTTGAAAAGTATCTATAAGTATCCACTCATGTCCTTTTCCCACTTTTTTTTTCTTTTTTTTTTTTTTGAGACTGAGTCTCACTCTGTCACCTGGACTGGAGTGCAATGGCATCGTCTCACCTCACTGCAACCTCCACCTCCCGGGTTCAAGGGATTTTCCTGCCTCAGCCTCTCAAGTAGCTGGGACTACAGGCACATGCCACCACACCTGGCTAATTTTTGTATTTTTGGCAGAGACAAGGTTTCCCTACGTTGGCCAGGCTGGTCTAGAACTCCTGACATCGTGATCCACCTGTCTCAGTCTCCCAAAGTGCTGGGATTACAGGCATGAGCCACTGTGCCCGGCCACTTTTCCCACTTCTTAATGCGGTTGTTTTTGTTGTTGTTGTTGAGTTGTTTGAGTTCCTTGTACATTCTGAATGTTAGTACCCTGTTGGATGAATAGTTTGTGAATTTTTTCTCATATACTACAGATTGTCTGTTCACTCCATTATTTCTTTTGCTATGCAGAAGCTTTTTGATGTAATTAAATCCTTTTTGTCTACTTTTGTCTTTATTGCCTGTGCTTTTGAGATCTTTGTCATAAATTCTTTGTCTAGACCAATGTCCAGAAGAATCTTCCCTAGGTTTCTTCTAGTATATTTGTAATTGCAGATCTTATGCTTAAGTTGTTCATCCATCTTCAGTTGATTTTTGAATGTGGTGAGAGATAGGGGTCCAGGTTCATTCTTCTGCATATGGCAATCCAGTTTTCCCCAGAGTGACTTTCTGAGCAAGGAGATCCTACCATTCAACTTCAGATAACCAGAACCTAAATCATGATTTGCCCAAATTAGGTTCAATAGATGTTTATGGAAGAAAGTGGGAGGAGAGAGAGAAGAAGTAGACAAGCTGGCTTGAGTCTGAGACCTCTGAGGTCTCAAGAAAGAGAAACTTTGAAGATTCAGGTAAAATATCAGTGTAATCCCACAGAGATTGTGTAAAATAATTGTAAAACAGTTGTGCAAAAGAAATGCACAATTTAAAAAAAAACAGTAATCTGCTAAGGGAATTTTTTTTTTCAAAGAGAAAGCATGACACAGTAGAAGAGTCATATCTTAGAGTTAGGAGGCTACTCTGTTACTAGTTCTCCAAATGACCATGGACACCTTACTGAGCCACTGCAAACATCAGTTCCCTCATTATAAAGATGACAGGACTGGAAAATCAGTAACAAAAGAAGGATTCTTATTCTGAACACTGTACTAGGCTTTTTTTTTTTCTTTTACACACATTCTCTAATTTAATTCTTAAAACTATTTATGATGTGTTTTACTTCCCCATTTTATAGCTGAGGAAAATGAGGCCAAGAAGAGTTAAATATTAATAACATGCTGAAAGTCACATTGCTGGTAAACGGAAAAGCTGGAATATAGTTTTAAAGTGGTAATTCCTTTTTTAAAATTTATTTTTTATTTTTATTTTTTATCCCTTGGTGCAAGATCTCTGTAAGGGTCCTAATTTCTGGATGTTATGATTCTGTAAATAATTCCAAGGAGGAACATAAAGGCAGAAGTCACTGAAGAAACCAATGACTGTATAGAAAATCTGGTGGGTTACTATGAAAAATATTAACAATACAAATCATATAAGTGTCATCTTAACAATTCAAGTACATAATTATAAAATGCTATTTAAGCTGCTAAAAGTAAAAACTTTGGATAGAAAAAGAATTATTACCAGAAAAGGAAGTTTTCATTTTCAATGTATTTAATTTTCACAACATTTTCATAAGGAATTATTTCCTATTCTAAAAGTAATATGAACTGAACACTTACCTCCCTTCAGAGCTCTGCAAAAAGAATAATCATCATCAGATCCTCGGCAAATAACTTCTTTGCGCTTTGGAAGAGTCATGGAGTTGACAGTTATGTAGAGATTGAAATATAATTGCTTTACATCTCTCCCTTTAAAAGAAAAACTCCCATTAGGTCCTCAAATAGTAGATTCTTTTATACATAATGATTAACATTTATTGTATAGTTAAAAGGGGCCCTGTGCTTTTCTTACATTATTTCATTTAATCATCACAACTATCTAAAAGGTGGGTATTATTACTCTTCTTCTGCAGATGAGAAAACTGAAGTTCTGAGAGGGCAACTAGTAAATCATAATCAAATACAATGTTCCACGGTAAAACTATGCATGCTCTGCCTAAAAACAGAAGAGCCTTCATAACTTCATAGAGAAAACTATGAAATAAAGACATAAAATGTCTAGTTCTAATCATGGTTCTGCTAGAAAATTCAAAAGAAAAGAAAAGGAAAGGAAAGACAGTGAGACAGCCAACTTTCTAGGAGTTCTGATGAAAGAGTTCTTGAGAATAAAATAGAATCTTTTGACGAAAAATAAATATATGGCTATTTTTTAATTTCCTTGTGATCTCCCTATTTCCAACTACCATGAAAAATTCCAGTAATCAATGCATTTTTCTCAACTCTTCCAACTTATTCAGTTGGCCCAAATGAAAAAGATGCACAATCCTTTTCTTTCTTTTTCTTTTTCTTTTTTTTTTTTTTTTTTTTTTTTTTTTTTTTGAGAGGGAGTCTCGCTCTGTCGCCCAGGCTGGAGTGCAGTGGCCGGATCTCGGCTCACTGCAAGCTCCGCCTCCCGGGTTCACGCCATTCTCCTGCCTCAGCCTCCGGAGTAGCTGGGACTACAGGCGCCCGCCACCTCGCCCGGCTAGTTTTTTTTTTTTGAATTTTTTAGTAGAGATGGGGTTTCACCGTGTTAGCCAGGATGGTCTCGATCTCCTGACCTCGTGATCCACCCGTCTCGGCCTCCCAAAGTGCTGGGATTACAGGCGTGAGCCACCGCGCCCGGCCTTTCTTTTTTTTTTTTTTTTTTTTTTTTTTTGAGACAGACTGGAGTGCAGTGGCATAATCTTGGCTCACTGCAACCTTCGCTGCCCAGGTTCAAGCGATTCTCCTGCCTCAGCCTCCCGAGTAGCTGGGATGACAGGCGCCTGCCACCACGTCCAGCTAATTTTTTTTATTTTTAGTAGAGATGGGGTTTCACCATCTTGGCCAGGCTGGTCTTGAAGTCCTGACTTTGTGATCCACCCGCCTCAGCCTCCCAAAGTGCTGGGATTACAGGCATGAGCCACTGTGCCCAGGCAAAAAAGATGCACAATCCTTTTCACAATGAAAACAATTTTGCAACCACTACCTCACTGAAAATATTTTCCTAGTAAGATCACCATGACTCATTATAACCATAATCAAAAGACAACTTTTCTAACTTTAATTTGAACTTGGCTATGCTTAATAGAACTGCCTGCTTCTTTCCCTAAACCTTCTTTGGTGTTGGTGCAACCACTCCCTTCCAGGTGTCCTCCAATCTCTCTGACTCCTCCTCCTCAGTCTATTTCATTGACTCCTAGATTTCTCCAGGTTCTAGCCTCAGTTCTCCTCAATTTTCACTCTGCACACTCTCTCAGACCAAATACCACATAAGGTGACAATTCTCAAATCAACTTTAGTCTCAACCTTTCTCCTGAGCATTGATCCCATGTATTTATTCAATATCTCTACTCAAATGTTGCCCAGTTACCTTACCCAACAGATCTAAAAGTGATTTCCTCCTCTTCATCACCAAATTGGCACTAGAATTCCCAGTCCTAGTAAATCTTTCTAACCTCCTTTTCATACCCATTACCGTGCTGCCTTCATGCAGGCCCTCATTGCTCTGAACCTGAAGCACCACCAACCTTCCTAATTTGTCTTCACTTCTCAACTTTCAGGGTAGGGTGTGGAGAAGACTATCATGGGGTCTGTTTCAAACAGTGATTCCATGGCCTACTCCATGGACTTTGGCTTGAACTTCTCCAAAAGCAGGGCTGTGTGTAGAAGCTGAAAGACCGTTTTCACAAGGAATTCCTGGAGACACAGAAGCACAAGACAGTGCCACCGTGGTGTCCAGTGACAATGCAGGGCAAAGGACCTTCTTCCATTTCTTTGTGAAACACAGCATGATTCCAGTCTTCAATAACTCCAGGAAAGGAAGTCCTGCTTTGACAACTCAATAGTTTACGTTGTGAGAAACTCCTTGGCCTTGGACACCCCTGTGGTCATGTTAAGAACATGAACAATGGCAACAATGAGACATCACTTTTGTGGCTCAGCAGGCTAGGGATGTCAATGTGGGTGTTGGAGTGAGGGACAAGAAACATGGGCTGGGCACGGTGGCTCACGCCTGTAATCCTAGCAATTTGAGAGGCTGAGGCGGGCAGATCACCTGAGGTCAGGAGTTCGAGACCATCCTGGCCAACATGGCAAAACCCCATCTCTGCTAAAAATACAAAAATCAGCTGGGCGCGGTGGCAGGCTCCTGTAATCCCAGCTACCAGAGGTAGAGAATTGTTGGAACCTGAGAGGCGAAGGCTGCAGTGAGCCGAGATCACGCCACTGCACTCCAACCTGGGTGACAGAGTGAGACTCCGTCTCAAAAAAAGAAAATAAACATGGTGGCTGTCATGTGGTATATAAGAGGACTGTTTTTTAGCTTACCAAAGACAATTCCAGGAACTTCCAGAAATAACCTTAAAGGAAGCTTATGCTCCAGTTCTATTTGTCAATCAGTTAATAATATACAAATAATTTACTAGCAAGGCTATGACGTCTCAAAAGATATCATTTCCATTCTCAACCTATTTTTGGTTCAAGTTTGTATTTGTATCTCCTTCCGAATTCAAGTAGAAATAAGGCCATAAAAATAAGGTCGATTTCCATGAATGTGGCCTCACACTTTATACCAACATTATAGTATATTCTATGGAAACTCAGGTCATAATTGCACTATAAAAATGTGACTGAATAATTATTGTGTTGATAAATTAATATAATTTGTTATATAAATGTCATATTTAGTGAGAAATTATAAAACATTTGTGATGCCATCGAGATATGTTCCTCAAATTTCCCTTCAAAAGCAGCTGCTGTGAGGAGAGTAGCTGGCAGACAGTCTGCAGCTGCTGCACCTTCACATCTATCTCAGCACTCAGCCAGAGGCCACCCTCTCATAGGCTGCTCCTATAATGATCCAGCACTGCAAGGACCCTAGAGCCAGGCTACTCCCGCCTGTCATGGGACTCTTATGACAGGCATTCTGCTCTGGGGCTCCCTATGTTGCTCAGGCCAAGAGTGTCTCAGGGATGCATTCTGGTCTGAGGGTTATCCTACTTAATTCTCCTTCCTCCCTTCTCTCTTTTCAAAGTTATCAGAGCTGCACCCCAATCTGAATTTTCTCCTAGCCTACTCTGGCTTCCTTTATTGTTCACAGGTGTTTCCTCCAAGAAATCTCTAGCCTAATTCCTTCTTAATGTCTGCTTTTCAGAGAACTCTAAATGATTTCGTACTGTCTTATTATCTTGGCCTGGAAAGATACAACCTGTTTCCTGTGTGTAAGGGGAAGGGATTCAATTGAAAGTGAGATTACTCATTATGTAAATCATCCTTTATGGCAAATGTGTAGGGGTAAAACCTGCCAACAGACCAGAAAACAGAACCTAGGAAAAAGGAAGAAACTGTAGAGTCTTAGCCAAGCAAAACTTTAGATTATTTATTTTATCCTTGGCCAGGAAATTGGAGGAAATAGAGTTAATCATCCTTTGCTCTGTGCTGTCACTAAGCTCTATTCCTATCACTTCACTTATACCATACTATCTGCAGATTTGTCTCTCCTATTGCACTGATGGATTCCTGAATTTCAAGAGAATGTCTTATTGGGTGGGCACGGTGGCTCACGCCTGTAATCCCAACACTTTGGGAGGCCTAGGCGGGTGGATCACTTGAGGTCAGGAGTTCAAGACCAGCCTGGCCAACATGATGAAACCCTATCTCTACTAAAAATACAAAAATTAGCTGGACGTGGTAGTGGGCGCCTATAATCCCAGCTACACAGGAGGCTGAGGCAGGAGAATGGATTGAACCCAGCAGGCAGAGACTGCAGTGAGCCGAGATCATGCCACTGTACTCCAGCCGGGGCAACAGACAGAGACTCCATTTCAAAAAAGAAAAAAAAGAAAAAAAGAGAGAGAGAGAGAATATCTTATCAATGAATTCACAGTGCCTAGCACGATACTTATAATTTACTAAGCATTTTTTAGTGAATAAATGAATGCAGATACGGAGTGTCAAAAAAAACAGGTTGAACAACTAGAATCATGAAAATTAAAACACAAGTTTATTGTCTATCATTCCTGGGTTCTCAGTTTCGGGGATTTTGTTGTTGTTGTTGTTTTTAATTTTTCTGGTAAGCCAGATAACTAATATCGGGGGAAAATGTTTAAGCTTATTTATGTAAAACTACTCTGTAAAGCATTAATAGAAAACAAGCTCCAAATCTAAACTAGGATGTGAATTATGGTGATGATGATGATGATAAAGATTAAAACTAAAGTTTTCTGGGATTCCAGAGCTTATAGGCAATAAGCAATGTTGGGTAACTGGTAGGAGAAGAAAAAGTTCTGTGTCTGCACAGAGACTGAGATACAGCCCCATGCTATCACCCCACCTGTGTTAGCTTTTTCTAAGCTGATAACAAGCAGAGTCAGAGAGAGGAAAACCAAGACACGACGCAAAGCAAAACAAAACACATTGCCTTCTGTCATCACATTATTACTGTATTTTTCTCTAGAAAGACCATCTTTAAAAAATTTTAAAGTCCTGGCTTGCTCACACACAGATCTTCCACTAATGGAAACCCAACATTACTTATAGCTAATGATTGACAAAGGATATACCTGTAAAATTATTGGACATCTGAAGTTATTTCCATTTCTACCCACATGTTCTTGTGTAATCCTCTCCCAATAGTATGGACTGGCCTAGTGATTTGCTTCTAACCAATAGAACACAGCAAAGGTGATGGAGTGTTACTTCCATGATTATGCTACATAAGATTGTGAATTTTGCCTAGTTAGCTGACTGTCCCCCTTGCTGGCTTTGAAAAAGCAAGCAGCCATATTGAAAATGTCCATGTGGTAAGGAACTGATGGTGGCCAACAGCCAGCAAGGGACTGAATACTAACAACTGAATACTGACAACAGCTACGTGAGCTTAGAAGTATATATTTCCTAGTTGAGCCTCAGAAGGGACTCCAGCCTGGCAAGCACCTTGATTGTAGCCGTATGGTAGACCTGGAAGCAGACACAGGTAAGCCATGCCCAGAATACTGATCAACAAAGATGATGAGATAATAAATGTGTGCTGTGTTAAGCCACAAAGATCATGGTAATTTGTTATATAGTAATAGCAATAGATAATGAACACAAGTATATTTGAAACACAATCATTTATCTTTGATATTTCTTAACTCCTTTGATTGGTCTATAAAAGCAAAAATTTGGACTTACTTGGAATGTAGAAAATGTGCAACAATCCTCTGGATCCCTTCAATTTTATGCAGGGATTAACATTAATTGAAATTGGGTATTGCATTTTATCTAAAAGCAATAAAGATAATGTCAATAAATTACTACAAATCATCTCCAATAAGTTTAGTATTCTGGATATCAGCCTTTTAAGATGAATTTTGCATTAAAATAATAAAATAAGAAAAATTGATGACAGTTGAAAATGTCTCCCCAGAGAAATGACATCAGCAGCATGGCAGAATCAGAAGCCCTGAACTCTTCTTGCCTCCACTAGCACAACAATTTACAGAAAAATTCCCTTTGTGAGAAATCAAACTAATTGAAAGACTCCTGCACCCAAGGAGAACTCAAAACCAGATTCAACAAAGCCAGTAGGGAGACTTGGGACATTCTTTAACCAGAGATTATTACCCTGGTGTGGTGTTATACAATCAGGAAGAGACCCCCCTACCCCAAGCTCCTAGCTCCACCCATGGGAGGAAAGAAGTTGTTTCACATGTCCAGAACCCCAACTTTTTCACGAGGGCTCCCCAGAGGATTGGCTTCTGTCTTGCCAGTCTTGGAGTTCTGATGAGTCTGGCACAGTCTACCACCCAGGGGAGAATAAAGGCAGTGTCTTGGGCAGATAGGCATCATTGATCCTCCCCTCTGCTCAGCACAGACTGAGCAGATGAAAAATCTTAGTTCTCAGCTTTCTCCTGGGGAGGGAGAGTTAATCCATGCATCTAGCACCCCAACTTCTCTGGGGATCCCCAAAACACTTACATCTTTCTCATCAGTCCTAGAGCTCTGACAGGTCTAGCATAGTCTAGCTACCTGGCAGGGGAATGGAGACAACAGCTTGGGCTGGTAGATGCCACAGTTCCCTCCACCACCCCATCTCTGGCTCAGCACGGAATAGGTGGACAAAAAAACACAGCTGCCTGCATCTCCCTGAAGTGAGAAAGAGTTGGTAGAGGACCCCAGAATCTCCAACCAGGCTACTAGTGAAGTGGGAAATTAAAGAAAGAAAGAAAAATAAAAATAAAATTAAAAAGAGAAAGAAATAAGCTTTCCTGTATTAGGTCAACTCATCTCAAAGGTGGTAGCAGGCAAGGCCCAGCCCCAGGAAAAGTCTTGATAAACACTATCTGAGAAGCTAGGACACAAAGGAATGTGCTCAGCACTCCCTCAACATAGGGAGAGGAAAAACAAATTTTCCTTTCTTTTATGGTATGAGTTTATAGATTCTTGCTCTCTGTAACTAGTAACTTCAAGTATTCTGTTTTATTTAAGAAGTACAGTGAAGGTCATGAGAAGCCTGAGCAGGCCTGAACTATAGCCATCTGGGCACCATGGTGAAGATTATGAGATAAACCACTGCAAGGCTCTTTTGAGCAAAACCTAGATAACAGACATCTGGGTTGCATAGTAATGGTCATGTGTAATCCTGAGTTATAAACCTATCGCAATTTGATTAATTGTTCTGCCTCTATATCCTTGCTTTCATGCCACTGTAAGCCTGCTTCAAGCTAGCCTACCACCTTTTAGAAGTGTGTATAAAAGTCAAGTGCTGTCTTTGTTCTGGGCCCAGTTTTTAGATGTTAAGTCTGCTGGGTCTGAGTGCATTCAATAAAGATCCTCCTGCTTTACCCTGAGGTCTCTCTCATCCTCCTGATTCCCACAACAATAGGTGTGGGTTATGTTCCTGTGTGAGGCCAATTTGTGAAGACTGAAAGAGATGTCTGCTTTGTAATGTGCAGATGCCAAACAGAGAAACAAGTAAAATGAAAGATCAGGCAAAGATGTTTCAAACAAAGGAGCAAGACACATCTTCCTCACTTATGCTAAGGAAATGAAGTTATATGATTTACCTGACAGACAATTTGAAATACCTCTTATAAAGATGCTCACTGAGGTCAAGAGAACAATACATGAATGCAGTGGGAACTTCAATAAGAAGAAAGAAAACATTTTAAAAGACCACACAGAAATCATGGAGCTGAAGGCTGGGCACGGTGGCTCATGCCTGTAATCCCAGCACTCTGGGAGGCCAAGGTGGGTGGATCACCTGAGGTCAGGAGTTCTAGACCAGCCTGGCCAACATGGTGAAACCCCATCTCTATGAAAAAAAATACAAAAATTAGCTGGGCGTGGTGGCATGTGTCTGTAATCCTAGCTATTTGGGAGGCTGAGGCTGGAGAATCACTTGAACCCAGGAGGTGGAGGTTGCAGTGAGCCAAGATTGCACCACTGCACTCCAGCCTAGATGACAGAACAAGATGCTGTCTCAAAAAAAAAAAAAAAAAAGAAAGAAAGAAAGAAAGAAAGAAAAAGAAATCATGGAGCTGAGGAACACAATAACTGAACTAAAAAAGTTCACTAGAGGGGTTCAGCAGCAGACTAGACCAAGTAGATGAAAGGATCAGTGAACTCAGAGATAGATCACTGCAAAAGGATTCAATCAGAGGAGCAAAAGGAAAAAATAATTTAAAAGAGTGAAGAAAACTTAAGGTAATGGTGAGATACTACCAACCAGAACCATATATGCATTATGAGAGTTCCAGAAGTGGAAGAAAAAAGAACAGACTACAGAAAGTTTATTCAAAGAAATAATGGCTATAATCCCAGCCACTCGGGAGGCTGAGGCACAAGAATCACTTGAGCCCAGGAGGCAGAGCTTGCAGTGAGCAGAGATCATGCCACTGTACTCCAGCCTGGATGAAAGAGCAAGACTCTGTCTCAAAAAAGAAAGAAAGAAAGAAGGAAAGAAGGAAAGAAGGAAGGAAGGAAGGAAGGAAGGAAGGAAGGAAGGAAGGAAGGAAGGAAGGAAGGAAGGAAAGATTGAAAACTTCCCAAATCTAGGAAAGAAAATGGAAATAATGGAAATACAAATCCAAGAAGCCCAATGAAATAGTTTTGTTTGTTGGTTTGTTTTTAAATATGGGGGTCTGCTCTGTCACCCAAGCTGGAGTGCAGTGATGTAATCATAGCTCATTGCAGCTTCTAACTCCTGGGCTCAAGTGATCCTCTTACCAATAGCTGGGACTACAGGTGCATACCACCACACTCAGCTAAGTTTTTTATTTTTATTTTTACTTATTTTTATTTTTTTTTATTTTTATTTTTTGTAGATATGAGGTCTCACTATGTAGCCCAGGCTGGTCTTGAACTCCTGGACTCAAGTGATCTTCCTGCCTCAGCATCCCAAAGTGCTGGAATTACAGGCATAAGTCACCACATGTGGTCTGTTTTTTGTGTGGTTTGGTTTGTTTTTAATTAAAAAAAAAAATTGTAGAGGCCAAGTGTGCTGGCTCATGCCTGTAATCCCAGCACTTTGGGAGGCCAAGGCAGATGGATGGTTTGAGGTCAGGAGTTCAAGACCAACCTGGCCCACATAGCAACACTCTATCTCTGCAAAAAATACAAAAATTATCTAGGCATGTCAGCACAGCATGTGCCTGTCATCCCAGCTATTTGGGAGGCTGAGGCACAAGAATCACTTGAATCCAGGAGGTGGAGGTTGCAGTGAGCTAAAATCACACCTCTGCACTCCAGCCTGTATGACAGAGCGAGACTGTCTCAAAAAAAAAAAAAAAAAATTGTAGAGATGGAGTCTTCCTTTGTTGACCAGGCTGGTCTCCAGCTCCTAAAGTGTAGAGTTGTTTGTGTGATTCAATTTAAGTTGTCATTAGCTTAAAACAGACTGTCAAAACTATAAGGTGTTGCTATGTTTGGAATGCATTCCCTGAAGTTCATGCATTGGAAATTTAATCCCCAGTGCAAGAGTGTTGAGGGGTGGAACCTCCAAGAGATGATCAGTTCATGAGGGCTCTGCCCTTATGAATGAATTAATGCTGTTGTTGCGGGAGTGGATTAGTTATTGTGGGTATGGATTCCTGATAAAAGGATGAGTACAGCCTCCTTCCCCACCCCTCACACGTGCTCTTTTGGCCTTCTGCCCTTCTGCCATGGGATGATGCAGCAAGAAAACCCTTGCTAGATGTTGCTCAATGTTGGATTTCTCAACAACCAGAACCATGAGCCAAATAAATTTCTGTTTATTATAAATTATCCAGTCTTATGTATTCTGTTATAGCAGCAAAAAAACAAATGAAGATAGAAAATTGGTGCCAGAGAAGTGAGGTGTTGCTATAACAGGTACCTAAAAATATGGTAGCAGCTTTGAAAATGGATAATAGGCAGAGGTTGGAAGAGTTTGGAGGAATAGGCTAGAAAAAATTCCATATTGCCATGAACAGAGCATTAAGGGCAATTCTGATGCAGGCTCAGAAGAAGGGAAGAAATGTAGGGAAAGTCTGGAAATTCTTAGGGATTACTTAAGTGGTCATAATCAGAATGTTGGTAGAAATGTGGAAGGTAAAGGCAATTCTGATGAGGCCTCAGACACAAATGAAAAACAAGGTATTGGAAACTGCAGTAAAGGCCATCCTTGCTACACAGTTGCAAAGAACTTGATGGACTTTTGTCTGTTCCCTAAAACTATGTGAAAAGTAGAACTTAGGAGCAAGGATCTATACTGTCTGGTAGAAGAAATAGATAAGCAGGAAAGTGCTCAAGGTGCTGCATGGCTTCTTTTGGCCACTTATAGTAAAATTCGATAACAAAATTAGTATGGATAGAAGGGAGCCAAGTGTTCTTCTACATCAAGACAATGGGAGAATGACCTGAAAGGCATTTCAAAGATCATTAAGATAGGCTAGGACTTTGAGGGCAAGGTCATATATAAAAAGCCCACAGTCAACATCATACTCAATGGTGAAAAACTGAAAGCTTTTCCTCTAAGATCAGGAACAAGGCAATGATGTCCATTCTCACCACCCTTGGTCAACATAGTACTAGAAGTCCTAGCCAAAGCAATTAGTCAAGAAAAAACAAAAAAGGCATCCAAATTGGAAGGGAAGAAGTAAAATTTTCTTTTTGCAGACGACATGGTCTTATATATAGAAATCCCTAAAGACTTCATTAAAAATTGTTACAGCTGGCTGGACATGGTAGCTCGTGCCTGTAATCTCAGCACCTTGGGAGGCAGAGGTGGAAGGATCACATAAGGCCAGGAGTTCAAGACT